ATAAAAAGGCAAGGTAGCGGGGCCGATCCCGCCCACATGACCAGCGTGAACTGTGCCTATACCGCTAGGCCCAACGAAAACTCGCTCATTTGCCCTGAGCCATCGTTCACTTCCAGAGCTTTTTCAATGACAGGGTTTTATTCAAAGGAGTGGGCTTGAGATGCAGAAACCGACTTTTGCTTTCTCGTCTCCGCATCACCTTCACCTTGGGCCACCTCTAAGATGTAGTCCAGAGCGTTACGAAGATTTATTGCTGTTGGCCGCGATTCAATCAGATAATTGACCTGCAAACGATATTTGGATAATAACCGTAAACTCGGACTCGTGCGCACAATCAGAGAAACAACTCACTTTCTCCTGAACGAACCGGACAAGCTGGTCAGAATCGGCGAACTGAGTTCGATGCATCTCAGTAAGCAAACCGAGCGCCCCTACCACAGCAATGAGTGGAGCTCCTCTCACCTAAAATCTATTGAATACAGTAGAGTTTGTTGAAGACCATCCCAGCTCCGTATTTCTCGAGGCGGGACACATAATCGTAAGAGATTCCTTGAGGGTGTCGTGCTTGCCAGCTGGGTGAGGCGGTCGTAAGGCTGCGTTCATATTTTGCGGCAGCGTCCACTAGCGACTAGAAACAAAGAGTCTGGGGAAGTAGGAGGGTAGCACACAGCTGGATTGGGCGTTAAAAATTGCGGCTCATGCAAGCCCACGCACAAGAGCTTAAGGAGAATTAAACAGTTCAATGTACGGTGTGGTGTAGTTGTACGGTGCGGTTGCACACGCCGCAATTTCACGACGCCTAATCCAGCTGTTTGCTACCCTCCTACTTCCCCATACTCTCTACTCCCGGTCGCTGGTGAACGCTGGTAGACGCTGGCAGACGCTAGATCGATATCTATACTTTCCTAGTCGCTGCCGAACGCTCGAACGCTAGTGGTCGCTGGTGGACGCTGCCACAAAGTATAAACACAGCTCAAGTGAAAGGATCAATTAGCACTGAGCAGATAAGCGTGATAGCCCACGGCTCTTACAGCAATACTCATTAGTTACTAAAGGGTTCTTGAATATTCCCAGTTTACAAGTCACCACGATGTGTCTCGCTCTCAGATCCAGAAACTACCGTGATATTAAACTAGTAAAGTGATTCACCTGCATATTCTAATGACACTAAAGGCATCCTGCGTATTCTCGACCGGTATGAAGACAGTATTGTGTGGTAGACGAAGCTGATC